TTCTCTCCCCAGCTCTGGGAGGGGAGTGGGGAGCAGGGGGGCTGGGAGCCAGGACTCCTGGGTTCTCTCCCCAGCCTGCACGGGTCTGAGTGAGACACAGGACGGGGAGACTGCGTGTGATGTTTTATTGGAGACGGGCCGTGCTAGGGCTTTTAGCTGGTAATAAAAGGAGCCTGACTTTTCGATAGTGGCAGCTGTGGTCTCGTCTCCGCGAGCCGCCCCCCGCCAGCCAGGAGAGGCGATCGGCCCCGAGGTAGCTGGAGTGTAGGGCTCACGGGGGCTGCCGCTGCCGCGCCTAGTCGCCCGCTGCGCCGAAGTTCATGGCGGCCGTCAGCGTGGCGGAGAGTTTGCTGGCGATTTTCTCTGGGGGGGGAGAAACCAGCTGCAGTGAGAATCCCCCCGTTGGTGAGACCCGCACGCCCCGGCCAGCAGAGCACAATCGCAAAGGGGGAGCGGGGAGCTGCCCTGCCATGAAACGCACCTCCAAACAGCCTGCCAGGGTGGGACGGGAAACTGAGGCACAAAGAGAAGCGGTAGAGCTGGGAATAGAACCCAGGAGTCCTGATTGACAGTTCACTAGCCCTAGCTAAGGGACAACATGGCCTAGTACACAGGACACCTGGGTCCTCTCTGGCTCTGGGAGGGGAGTGGGGGCTGGTGGTTAGAGCAGGGGGGGTTGGGAGCCAGGACGCCTGGGTTCTCTTCCTGGCTCTGCCTTGGACCTTGGCCAAGTCCCCCCTCTGTGCCTCAGTTTCCCCTCTCTACCATCCATTTCTAGGCTGAGCCCTTTGGGCAGGGACCGTCTCTTATCGCTCGCTCTGGACGGCTGCCTTCCCCAGATGCCCCCACGACGAATCCCTAAGCACCCCTCCGCCAACCTGCTCTTTTCTGCTGCTTCTTCCGCCTCCTGCTAGCGGCCCGCAGCCCCTGCCCTTGGTGCAGGGGGTCTAGGGCTGAGATCTCCTCCAGGCTGGGGGCTCTGGGAACAGGTTTCTCCACGGCAGCGGCTGCTTTGTTCTTAGCCTTCAGTTCCACCGTCATGGGGCCGAGCTGCAGGGAGAAAGAGGAGAGCGAGGCTGGGCACGGGTCTGGCACTGGGCAGCTGCCTCCTACTCCACGATCTCAGCGTTCAGATCAAAAGAAAATGACGTTTCTCGCTCCAACGGCTGGGGAGAAAAGGGCTGAAAGGGGATCACTGCTTGCCTGAGGCTGCAGAGAGCCTGAGCTCATCCCTCAAATGGGGTGGGGCCTGTTATGCAAATGAGCTAAGAGGAGGAGTCTCCTGTTGGCACCAAGAGGGGGTGGGTCTTTGAAGCTTCAGCCTCTCAGGAGGACAATTTTGGGATGCCTGTGTGGGCGGAGCTTGTGGTGTAGGGGATGGGGCTTAGGGGCCATGCTTTTCCCCTCCCTCCATACCTCCAGATCTCTGTCTTCGTCCATGGCTGTTTCTTCCTCTCCCGATGTCTCCTCTTCCTCCATCTCGGCCCCGGCCACACTGGTGAGGCCGGCGGGGACGAGGCCGATGCCCACGGGAACCGACGGGAGGTCTGGGCAGGAACGGACACAGAGCGGGCACCGTAAGCAGATGCTCTGATCCCACCCACCTCCGGGGGAGAAAGTGGTACTGCCCCCCAAAGGGCACA